AATTATCTGTAAATTTTAAAATATTAAAACTTATTCTCTTTCCCGATTTATATAAAAATTTTACCTCTTTTTTGTTTTTTATAAGAATAAGACATAACATTTTTCTTTAAATATTTTTTATATTTACTTTTATTATTTATTAGTATTTACAATTCTTAGTATTATATTTATAATTAACTCAAAAGTTTATATATTTAAATTTTTATTCTAATAATAAATCTATTTTTAATTATTTTTTATATTTATTTTTATAAGTTGTATATAAACTTAAAATATTTTTTTAAATATATAAATTTTTCTACTCGATATTATCATATTTTATTTTGTTTATATAAAATATTAAAAAATTAGATATTTGCAAATTATCTATTTTCTTTTTTGATAGTTTTTTTATAATTAAAAATACTCTGAAATTTTATATCTATATTTTTCATCTTTAAAATGCTATTATATTTTATTAATATAAATATTTAAATATTTTCAATTTACTATAATCTATATATTTATTTCTATTATTTACATGGGTCCTGATAAATATTTTAATTATCAAGTTATTAAATTTTTAAAATTCTTGATTATGTATAAGTATATAGATTTAAAGATTTATATAATTATCTTATTTAGTTTTTATTATTAAAATAATGATATATATAAATATCAAATAATTTATAATATATATATATATTATATATATATATATATATATATATATATATATATATATATTTCTAATATTTACATAATGTTTTCATTATTTTTTAGATTAATCAAATTTTTATTATTAGATTATATCTTGTTTTTACATTTTTTATGTTTAGATAAAGTGATTTATCTTTAATTTATATATATATTTTTTTATATTTTATTCTTTATACTGTTTTTATTTTCTATTTTTTATGTATATTGTATTTATTATGATACATACGTTTTATTTTCTAGTTTTTTGTTAGCTTTTTTTCTTCACATTCATTGTATCTTAATATATTATTAAAAAATAATATATAAAAGTATTTCTTTACTATTTATTTTTTCTTCTATATTTTTATTTTAAAATTAGTTTTATGAAATACAATATTTCTCCATTTTTTTATATTTATTTAATAAAATTGTTGATTTATTTTTTAAATACTATTTTATGATAAAAAATAATATTTAATTAATTAAAACATAAAAAAAAAAAAATTAATAACTTTAGAAATTATAAAATTTTCAATTTTCAACTATACAAATAAAATAAAATAATAAGTTTTAAATATTAAAAAAAAATAAATAAAAAATATTAATATTTTAGTATTCCAAATAAAAAATTACTAAATGTTACTGAATAATATGTGTATTTTTTTTATAAAATACGAAAAACATTAACAAATATATTTTTAAATATTAAATAATATATAAAAGAATAAGATCAAAAATCTATATTTTCGAAAACACTTGAATAAAATAAAAACATATAAAATAATACATCACAAAGATGCTCCATATTTGATATTGCCAGTTAATTAACAATATAAGAAAAAAATTAAGAAAAGAACTAAATATTATAAGGTTTAAATTAAAAATTATTAATTATTTAGTTTTTAATAAAAATAAAAACATAAGATAAGCAAAAAAACTAGCCTTAATAAAAATAACCCAATAAAAATACAAATTAAGAATCAATAATTGGAACTATTTAATAAAAGCCATATACAAAAGGTACTTACTAAATTAAAGTATCTACAAAAATAAAGCAATTAACATACGCTGAAAAAGTTCAATCTTAATATGATAAATTATCTTTGACAGTTTTGGATTAAAAATAATTAACTTTTAGTAATTTAAATGAAGATGTAAAAAATTATATTTTTTATATTTAATTAAATTATAAAAAAATAAAAAGCCAAAAAAAAAAAAATTGTTCAAAAAGAAAAACTATATGTATTTGATTATGTATAAGATGAATCAAAAACAAACCAATAATTGTTTAGAAAAAGGATTTCAAATTAAGTTGTTTCTTTTCTTTAAGGAATTAATTAATCGGTTTTGGTAATAGGAGGTGATTCTGCAGGAAAACTACAAACGTAATTTATTTTAACAAATAATTAAAATATATAAATAATTAATAATAATAATAATAATAATAATAATAATTAGTATTTAAGGCGATTTAAGAGATCCTGGCCTATTTATTCTTTTAGTAGAAAATGTATTTAATAATTTATATGAAAGTCAAGATAGGGAAAATTATTGTTTAAAAATAAGTATGTTCATCAATAAAGATTAATTTTTTTACGACTTACTTGTCGAAAATAATTATCCTTTGAAAATTAGTGAAAAATATAATGGAAATATTTAACCTTTAGGCATAAGTGAAGTAATTGTAACAAATTTAAAAACAGCATTAAAATTATTAAAGTATATTTTAAAAATAATTTTTATTTATTATAATTTAATTTTTTATAAAAATAAGAATTGGATTAAGTAATATACATATAAATGATGTAGACAAAATTAAAACAGAAAATGTTTTAAAAAATTCAAATGTTGTATTGCAAATGTAATTAGAAAAAACAGAAAAATAATTGACGAAACACGATGTAACAGTAAGTACTTTTAAAATGATGAAAGTTTAAGACGGAATATTTACAAAATTAATGAGTATATAAAAATAATATAATATATATATATTTATTTTTTATATAGAAGAAGGAAATTAAAATTAAATGCTTTTAAATTTACAAAACTGTATGAGATTATTAAGTAAATAATATAAAAGCGATAAAGCAATATAAATACCTTTTAAAAAACATATTTTTACCGAGTTTTTAAGAGATTCAATATCTGGTAATTCTTAAACTGAAATAATATGTTGTTTAAATAGTTTAAATAAAAAATCTACTGATACAACTAATATATTAAGAATGGGTCATTATTGTTAAAAAATATATACTAATCCTAAAGAAGTAAGATATGCCCATATGCCTGCTAATATTGCATATTTAGATGTTATAGAAAATTTGATTACGACAATGAGTTTATGGCTAAAGGAGTTCTGGTAGCATAACTATGAGGATATTTAGAAAAGTGATAGACTCGAAAATATATTTGAGATTCTTAGAAATTTAGAAGGGATGGTTATTAGTATTATAGATAATATAGAGAACTTTATCTAAATAGAACTTATAAGAAATGCGCTTTTGAGCAAAGTTTTAGAATCCCATTGTAAGGCATATTCTTCTAGTATTACAAGTGAAGATATAAAAGAATTTTATGTCGCTAAATTAGAATATAATACTAAATAATTACTCTTGAATGAATTCGTTTAGTTATATCCTAGTATAGATTTTGTGATTGAGTAATTGGAAATAAATAGGGTTAAACGTTTTAAATGTAAGGAAAATTTGGTTAGTTATCTGAAGACTTTGTAAGAGTAAGGACATACTAATAAAAATTTAAATCATGTAGATTTGGAAAAATTAAATTTTCTATGTAAATTAATCTTTAGGTTTTTGGATATTATTGAAAAGTTTGTTGAATATAATTGCTATATACCCTAGATTATTAGACAGGATATACAGAAATTGTTTTAAGAATAAAGAGATTTGGAAGAGCATATGGAAAATGAAGGATATTAAATAGGACCATAAGAAATTTTAGAAAATAGTAAAAAAAATGTGTCTTTAAGTAGACGTTCAAGTATAAGTGGATACGGAAATATAAATAGTTTTAGTTAAGCTAATAATAATAATAATAGCAGAGGTAGGGGTAGTATTAAATATATTAATAATATTAATTTATTATCAGATAGAAATTATAGGAATTCGAAAATAATAATAAAATAAGGTAAAAATGAAGAATTTGTAGATTAATAAAGTTAATAGAGTAAATAGAGTTAATAAAGTGAAAATAATATTTAAAATGATGAAATCAGTGAAAATGGAGTGTTTGTAAACTCTATGTATAACAATTAATTAATTAATAAAGAAAAAATAAAAGAATTATAAATTAAATTAAAAATTAGTAATCCTTAATCAAAAAATGTATTTGTCAATAATAAAAAACTTTCAATTAAATAACCTTTGGAAGATAATATTAAATATAAAAAAAAATAGCGTTTAAAAACTTAGTAGATTAATTAAAATTCTTATAAATTTGGAAATAATAAATATGATGAAGAAAATTGCTAATTAGTTCAAGAAATTTTTACAAATAATGTTAGATATAGAAAATCTTAAAATGAAAAAAATGCATCTTTTTTTACTACTTAATTACAAATAAAAAATACAAATACGTATATTCTTTTATAATATTTATTTTTATATTTATATTAATATAAATATTTGTAAAAAAATATTAAATATTTAAAAATTAATAAATATATAATATATATATATATATATATATATATATATTTATTTTAAAAAAACTAAAAAGTAACAGTTTTGTATAATAAGATAAATTAAATAATTAAAAATTTAGTATTACTAGTATTTAATTTCATTAAAAAGATATTCATTTTACAAGAAAGTTTCCTAAAATGCTCAATACTGTATATTAGTTTAGATTACCTTAATTACAATAAACACTTAATATAGAAAAATTCAAGAAGTTTATGTATAATTGATAATATTTATTCATTATTGAGAAGAAGAAAAAAAAATTAAATAATTTATATATATTCATAATCATATATTAGGTATTATGTTTTTTTAAAGAAAATAACAATTTATATTTTTTTAAAAAATAGCAATATTATATAATACTTAAAATATTATTTTTTTTTAAAAAAAAAAAAATTAATAAAAAAAAAAAATCAAAATTATAATTTTAAATTTAAAAAAAAAATGTACAAATTCATTTCTAAGCAAAACATATAAGCAATCTATCTCTAAAATAAAAACTTCGTAAACTTTGTAATGTATGGAGATTTAGCAAACATAAAATTCGATATTAACCATCTAAACAAGCAATCTACTAAAATTCAATAATATATAAACATCTACCGAAAATACGGAAATATGTTCGCATAAATTGACCCATTAAAGATATTATAAAGGTATTGAATATATATATATATATATATATATATATATGTATTTTTATATTTATATCTATTATATATTATAAATATATATTTTTTATTTCATAGGCCTGATGAAATATTTAACCCTATAGATTTCGGTCTGAAATACGACTAATAATTTATTTAAGAAATTGACAAAGATTCGTCTTACATTCATTAAATAAGCGATAATTCCCAAACTATAGTTTAATTAGAAGAACATTTAAAAAAAATCTACAAAAACACTGTAGGAGTTGAATTTGAACACATTTAATGTTCATCTGAAAAATCTTGGCTGTACTACACCTTCGAAAAATACCAAATTACTCCCTTAACAACCTTAGAAAAAGTAAATATTCATTAACTTTTAACCCAAACGGAATCATTAGACCATTTCTTAAGCAAAAAGTTTTAAACATTCAAAAGATATGCTGGAGAAGGCGCCGAATCAGCCATAATAGGTCTCAAAGCTATTTTTGCTAAGTCTAGTGAATAAGATATAGAAGATATAGTCCTCGGTATGCCCCATAGAGGTCGTTTAAATGTATTATGTAACCTCTTAGACTATCCTGTAGCTGATTTATTCCGAAAAATAACTGGCTAAGCCGACCTACCTTCTGAACTATACAACTATGTAGATGATGTAGTATCCCATATAGCGACTTCTAGACATTAAAAAACATTCTCAGGAACAGGCTGTAAGGAAAAACCGATAAACATAAGTATGTTACATAATCCTTCCCATTTAGAAGCCATAAATCCTGTTTCTATGGGAAAAACTAAGGCTAAATAAGACTTTGGAAATTCCACTTTAAACATCTAAATGCATGGAGATGCTGCTTTTTCGGCTTAAGGTGTAGTCTATGAGGCCTTTTCTTTAAGTAAAGTGCCCAAATTCACTGTATAAGGTACCATACATATCATTGTGAATAATTAAATAGGGTTCACAACTAGTCCTATAGACGGAAGAAGTAGTTTCCATTGTTCAGAAATTGCGAAATCGTTCGATGCGCCAATTTTACATATAAATGCGGATGATCCAGAGAGTGTGCATAAGATGTGTAAATTAGCAGTTGAATATAGATAGAAATTTAAAAAAGATATACTTTTAGATATTGTTAGTTATAGAAGATATGGACATAATGAAGTCGATGAACCAGAATTTACATAACCAGTAATGTATAAATAAATTAAAGGCAAATAGATGACTTGTCCTTAGATTTATAATAAGTTATTAATAGAATAAGGGGTATTAAAAGATGATGTCTATGAAAAAATTAGATAAAAAACATTCTCATATTTAGAATAAGAGTTTGAAAAAATCTCTGAAAACTAAAAAACTATATCAATATATAAATCTAATGATAATAATTCTTCATCTGCATTTAAGTTTAAATGGTAAAATATGGACTTTAGTATTTTCGGAAAAGAACCATCCGAAACAGGCTTTCCTTCATCAAAATTAAGATAATTAGCTGTCTAAAGTGTCACAATTCCTCCTGATTTTAAAGTACACCCTCGTTTATAGAAATTCTTTATTGAATCTAGACTTAAAGCAATACAATAAAATTAATTAGACTGGGCTACATGTGAAGCTTTGGCTGCTTAGTCTTTATTAGATGAAGGTTTTATGATAAGATTGACTGGTTAAGATGTTGAAAGGGGTACTTTTTCACAAAGACATTGGGTACTTACTGATTAAAACACTCATTAAACTTTCAACCCAATTAAAAATTATGCCGAAACCCAAAACAAGGGAAAACTATATGTATATAACAGTCCTTTAAGTGAAATTGGAGTACTTTCATATGAATATGGTTATTCTTTAGAATCGCCATAAATATTATCTCTTTGGGAAGCATAATTTGGAGATTTTAATAACTCAGCTTAAGTAGCAATTGATACTTTTTTGACTTGTTCGGAGCATAAATGGGCTAGATAGTCTTCTTTGACTATTATTTTGCCTCATGGAATGGATGGAGCAGGCCCAGAGCATTCTAGTTGTAGAATGGAGAGATTCCTCTAAATGATAAATAGTGATGGAAGTAATAGAAATTTTAAGTTGAAAAAGCATGATAATGGTAGAAAGGAATTGAAAGTATATGATTAGGTCTTTTATGAAAACTATTAAGATATTAACTTCTAAGTAATTAATCCAACAACTCCAGCAAATTATTTTCATGCTTTAAGAAGATAAATGAAAAGAAATTATAGAAAACCATTAGTTATAGTAGGACCAAAAATATGTATTATATTAATAAATTTATATAAATATATATATATATATATATATATATATATATATATATATTTATTTATTTATTTATTTATTTAGTATTGAGACATAATAATGCGAAATCAACTTTTGAAGATTTAGATGTAAATACATGTTTCTAATCTATTTTGGTTAGACTTCCTGTTAATTAATAAACAAAACATATTCTTATCACTAGTGGTAAATTTTCTTATGATATCTTAAATTTAATTAATTAAGCTAAATAAAGTGCGACTACAGCACTTATTGTTATTGAAGAACTTGCTCCTTTTCCAGAAGAATAACTAAAAAATATTATTTCTTAAGCTAATGGATAAAATACAAATGTTTACTGGGTTTAGGATGAATAATTAAATTCTGGTGCCTATCTTTATAGTGAACCTAGAATTTCAAGAATAATAAATGAACTTAATTTTAAAAATTAAAATATCTAATATGTAGGAAGAAAAAGCTCAGCAGTTACTGCGACAGGAAAATCAAAAGGACATTAATAAGAAACATAAGAATTGCTAGATTTAATAAAAAGTTTAATTATTATATGAAAATATATATATTAAAATAATATTTAAAAAATATTAAAAATAAAAAAATATTTATATATGATTAATTATATACATATAAATATATATATATATATATATATATATATATATATATATATATATATATATATATATTTAATCTTATTTATATAATATTTTTTTTTTATTAATCGGTTAAAAAAGTTTTACTAATAAAAATTAATATTATAATTACAATCAGTTATTTTATTTAATTTTAATAAAAAATCATAAATATAAAATGTAAAGATATACATAAGATAATGTTCCAGAAGAAATATTGAAACGCTTTCCTTAGTTTCGTTCTAAATAAAATTCTCGAAATCCCAGTCCTTTTTAAAATGAAAAACAGCAAAAACCAGATGCCTAATTAGAAAGCAATAACGAAATACCTGAATTGATTAGAAATAAATTTCCACAGTTTTAAAATGTTAAAAACATAAAATTGATTGATAAATGTTAATAATAGCCTGGTTTACCAAATCAATTTAGACCTATACTAATTCCTTAACTTTCTTAGAATAAGTTAATAAAAAAAGTTTAATTAGCTCGTTAATTTGCACCCGTAAATCTTCCTGTAAATGCTTAAATTGCTATCAATTAAGCTTAATGTACTTTATGTTCTAATTGCAAAAAAAAATGCGAAGGACCTTATGATTTACCAATAAATCATTAAAGTCCAAGGGTATAATAATATTTTATATATATGATTTATTAATTTATTATTAAATAAATGTTGTATAAAAAATATAAAAATAGGAAAGTTGATTTTTCGATAAAAATAAAAATATAATATGATTTACTTTATTTTTTTCCAATATATATAATTAAATTAAAATTATTTTATACTTATTCTTTTTTTAATTTTTTTCAAAATACTTAATAAAAATGATAAATAATAAAATTAAATAAAAAAAACATAATTTAATTTAATTAATTTTATTTATTAAAAAAATAATACATTATAAATATAATAAATAATCTAATAGAAATAAAAAAGTCATTAAGAATATTTAAATTCTTATTAAAGGCAATCAATTTTCGCCATAACATATTCCAAAGAAGCTTACAAAGCCTAAGTAATAACCTAAATAAATATATATATATATATATATATATATATATATATATATAAATTACATTTTCATTTTCTTCAATATTATCTAATTCGTCTTTAAATTATTATTAATCTTTATCGTCTAATTTGTCACTTGATCCTCTCTAAATAATAATATTATTTTTTTTTTTTTCTAAATTCCCTTTCAAAATCTCTTCTTACAAAATACTATTCCTTTTCTCTTTATATTCTTTTACACTTAAATTTTACTTTTTTTTTTTCTATAAAAATCCTTTTTATTAAGGTATCATATTTTATTCAGATTCTTCAAAAAATTCATTTTTCCATAAAATAACAGTTTTTTCACTTCCTCCTGTAGCAAAACAACTACCATCTTAATTATAATTTAAAGCGTAAATTTCTTCATCACTAGTATAGACTGTGAAAGTTTACTTACACATTCTCATATCCCAAATCTTCACTTTCCCATCTGAACCGCCAGAACTTAAAAAAAGTCCACTAGGATGTACTTACAAACAATTAATTTACTCACTATGTGCACCTTAATAATTCTAAATAACTTTTCTAGATCTCAAATCATGTATTTTTATAGATTTATCAAACGAGCAGCTTACTACAGAAGTACCATCTGGGCTAAAAAAGCTTTATTTTACCACATCGGAGTGACTATTTATTGAATAAATACACTTCTAGTTCTATAAATCCCATATTTTTATACTTCTATCATCCGAGCAAGATCCTATAAGTCTCGCATCAGGTGAAAAAACACCCATTCTGACCACATTATTATGTCCAAGAAAACTAGTTAAATACTTTCTGGTATTCCCATGCCATAACTTCAATGTACGATCATCAGAAGCAGATAATAAAAATTCATCATTGAATGAAAATTCGATACTTCTAACACCACCACTATGCGCTTTTATTATATGGTAGTCCTAATATTAATTTTCTTGCCCATTATTGTCATTTGTATATATATTAATTTTTCTATCTTGTCCTGATGTGGCTAATATATTCCCTTTCTAGTTGTATTTTACACAATATGTAATTCCTTTATGGAGATTGAACTTTGGAAATGTTAAAGGAAGATTATTTGTTTCATTTAAATCCTGGATTTGTATATGAGAGTCCTTACAGGAAAATACTATTTGGGAATTATTTGGATGAAAATCTATTGATGTTATTGATTTTTTAGTTCTTTCGAAATTTAATATATATTCGGGTTTATAATCTTTCTTTTAAATTTGTTGAGATTATTTTTGAATATTTTTTTGGACATTTTTAATATTAAAAAAATTATAAAATATTATATTTTAAATTAAATTTTTTAATATTTTTTTCTTTAAAAAATATAATAAAATAATAAATATTATTTGTTTCAAAATAATAAAGTAGTTATATATTTAAAAAAATAAACTAATTATTTTGAAAATCTATAATTCTAAAATATATTAAAAAATGAAATTATCTACTTCAACAGAATGGTTATATTTTCATTTATGGAAAAAAAACCCTGAAACCCAATCAAGTTGTCCCGGTGTATTTATTCCAGACACTGTCATATATAGATGGGCACAACCTTATTATTGGTACTTCACTAACCGAAATGGTCAATTAATTCGCAAAACAAAAGAAAGAATCGAAAATTAACATTTAAAAGAAGTATTTATATATAACACAAATAAAGACCAACCAAATTCATAATATATAACTTTTTAAGATAACATGCTTTAAAATACAAGCAAAACATAAAAAAACTTATAATATGAATAAGAGACAATAAAATTCGAATATTTCGATGAAGAAGAATTTTCCTAATTTTTATAAGAAAGAGAAAGAAACTTAACGGCGATTTTGTAAAAATTCATAACCCCAAAAGGTGGAAAAAACTCCTTAATAAAAGTCTCTTGGTCTCCCTAATTTTGTCTCTTATATAGAAAAACTAATATAAACCTAATGAATGATCCAAAAATAGATTTTAACAAAAAAATTTGCACATTTGAAGGACCAGAATACTTATCAGTTTAGGATAGTATAAACTCACCTATATTATAGGCTGATTTGGAATAAATTTGTATTAATATCGTAAAACATATATAAGATATATCTGGTGGGAATATATAAATTTCTCGAATGGTCCTTTATTTCAAATTAGATGATAAAAATAGACTGTGGTTACTTTTTTGTACTTAAATTAAAATAAGGGAAAGATTTTAAGACTTTTTTTAAAAAAATTCTAAAAATTAATAAACTAATATCCGATTATTATCTCCTATAATGAAAATAAATAATTCTTAGCAAAAAAATAAGACTTAATTGGTTAATTATGACTAGTTTTTTAATGAAAATTAAAAAAAATGCTCAAATTGTGATATAAAAATATAGGATTTTTACGATTTGAAAATCCAATATATAGTAGATTCTTTTGAAAAAAAAATAATTTCTTCTTAAAATAAAACGAAATTTCCAGATGATCTACTTAAGTTAATTTAATAAAAAAAAGAATATGAATAAAATAAATAAGAAAATATTAAAAAAAAAAAATTAAAATAATATATTTCAAAAGAATAGGAATTAGAAGAACTACTTTTATATTTAAATCTCGAAAACTAAAATAATAATTAAATTAATATAAAGGAAGTTCCTGCACTTATATTTAAATTATGGAAAAACATTACTCCCTAAATATATAAAAAATTAAAAAATAATCACTCTTGGTTACAATTAACAACTAAAGTTTGCGAATAATGCTATATTGAATACACTGAAGGTACTTTAGAGAGTACTTTTGTAAGAAATATAAAAAAAAAAACTTTTTATTAAAAAAATCTTAGCTAAACTACTTTTTAATTATAATAATAATAAAGTTAAAAATAACCTTTTTTTGAAATAACAGATAATAAACCAAAGCGGGTTATTAAGAGAAATAAAAGTGAATAGTAATTATAAAAAAGCAATTTTTTTAATTTTAATAAAGAAAACAACATAATATAATATGAAAATGAAGAAAAATAAAAAGATGAAGATGAAAAAAAATAAAAATATACATATACTTAAAATAATCAAAGTTAAATTAAATTAAAAAATATTCTTAATTTTGTAGAAAATAAAAAAAAATTAAAATATGAATAAAAAAAAAAAAAGTAATGTGCTTTTTTCATAACCCATCTAAAATATATAATTCGCATGCCTTTAAATTACCAAATGTTAAAAATTACAGTAGTGCTTCTACAAGTATTCTTAATAAATCTAATTAATGTCAAAATTTTATAAATCATGATTTTATGATGAATACTATTAGTTAATTAAAAGGGAGTTTAAAATAAATAGAAAAAGAAACAAATTGAAAAATATATATAAAATTTAAAAATAATTTACTATAGAAATATTTATAAAATTCATAAAAAAAAATAATAAGATATGTTTAAATAAATGTAAAAAAAAAAAATATTATATATATTATATTATTAAATTTATATTAAAATAAGTAATAATATGTATAAATATAGATATTTATATAAAATAAAATATTTAATAATAAAATATTTTAAATATATAGAAAAAATTATATTATATATTATATATAAATATTTATAATATTATCTTCTTATTTATAATAAATTAAATATTATAATAAATTTATAATGACTAATTTCAATTAAATAATAAAAATTTATATATAAATTTTTTATTAATATAAATATATATATTAAAATTATTTTTTATTATTTATAATAATAAATATATATTTTGTAAATAATTTGTTTTTTATAAATGATATTTTATATAATTTTTTATAAAATATTTATAATATTTATATCATTTTAATTTAAGTTTCTTAAAATATTAATTTTTTATAATTATTTCTAAAAGATATTCATTTTTAATTTAAATTGAATTAAATTTATAATAAAAATATAAACTTATAATTTAAAATATAATTTTTTTAAATATAATTAAATTTATAATAAAAAAAATTATATAAAAAATTTGCTATCTATAATACATTTTTTTTTTATATTTTTAATTTCTAAATTTAAATAATTAATGTTTTATTTTTTTTAATAAATGAATATTATAAAATATTTGTTTTTTTCCTATTTTAATTTTTATACTTTATTTAAAATTATAAGTTATTTTATTAAAGACAGAAAATTTATATTTCTTTATTTTATTTTCTAAAAAAGTACTTTATATATAATTTTTTTTAATAAAAATAAATAAAAAAAAATAAGATTTATTTTTAAATACCTTAATATATAATAAAAAGGAAAAAAAAAAAAAAAAAAAATTAATCAAACGAAATTAAAAAAAGAAAAAAATTATATAAAAAACATAAAAGAAATTTTTATTTTTTAAAAGAAAAAAAAATAATATGATTAACAAATTTGCTTCCAGATTAATAAAGAATGCGAAATTGCAAAGAACATTTTCTACTTTATAAAAATAAACACAATCAAGTGTAATAAAAAGTGAAAAACTTTAATTTTCCAAAGCCCGTTTAGCTGAATTTGGAGAGCTACCCTAAGGGGAAATCCCAACTGCACTTTAATATGATCGCTTTTTCAGTAATAAAACAATTTTTTTATAAAAATAAAAATAATATATAAATAAAAGGATTAGAAACTTTATCTAATGGAGTTAGAGTAGCCGTTGAACCTTCAACTGCTGTTGGACTTGCATCGTAAAAATTATTTTTTTAATATAAATAAATAAAATACAGATGTATATTCATACATACTTATATATTTTTAATATATACAAACAATTATGTATTCCATAAAATTCTTTGAATATATAATACATGATTTATTAAAATTATATATAAATAAAAAAAATTAAAATAATAAAAAAACAAAAAAAGAGTATCAGTATGTGTAAAAGCTGGAACAAGATAAGAAACTTTATAAACATCTGGAGTTTGTTAATTCTTAAAAAAATTAAATTTAAGAGTAAAAATAAGTTATAAATAAAAACTATTAAATAAAATAAGGGTACATAAAAAAGGAGCCGTGAGCAAATAGAAAACGAATTATCTAATTTTGGAGGAAATTTGAATGTAAAAATTGGAAGAGAAACTACAGTATACACATTATCATTCCAGTCTTCCTAAATGGAACAAGCAGTCGACTTTTTAGGTGATATTCTCCAAAATTCAGTCTACAACAAATCTCAAATAGAAGCTGAAAAAGATGCAATATACCATAATGCAGTAACAAATTAAAATAATTAAGAAAGTGTTATTTTAGAATCTGTCCATTTCACGTCATATAGAGATCATTTTATGGTAAATATGAAAATTTATTTATTGCAATATTATAAAATACATAATGATATATAAAATTATATCTATATATATAAAATTATATCTATATATATAAATATTATATTAAAAAATTAAATATGAATGAAAAAAATATAATTATAATTAATAAATTGAAATATATATAAATATAAAATATATATATATACATAAATAAAAATATATATAAATATTTATAATTTTATATTTACATATATATATATATATTTATATGTATTTATTTATTTTTATTCTTATTTATTCATATTTATATATATACATATATATATTTTATAAATATATATATTTTATATATTTATATATATTTGTCTATTTTTATTTATATATATATAAATATTTTTTTTACAATTAGGGTTAACCTTCACATGGTATAAGAGAAAATATTCATAATATAACTGAAGAAGATGTCATTTAATTCCATAAAGCCAACTATGTAGCTGAAAACTTTGTAATAGCTGGTGCAGGAAATTTGAATTAAGAAGCTTTTCTTAAAGCTGTATAAAATTCTTTCGGAAATGTTTAAAAAAAGATAATTTAGTTCCTGTTGTTAATTCTGAATAACCTTACTTCACACCTTCTGTGGTAAATATTTTTTTCAATATATTTATACAATATATTTTTTTTAAAGATGACAATGAGAGACGATGAATTACATAATGTTAATATAGGTGTATTTTTCTCAGCTCCTTCTTGGACAGACCCTGATTTCTTCGCCATGCATTTCTTTTAGAGAGTTTTAGGTGAATATCAAGCTGACAAATATACAGGATAGCATTTAAATACATCTGATAGATAATATAATTTATTACATAAAGAATTAGGTAATTTACCTGATGTTACTTTACATAAATGCCATTATTTACCTTATTCTGATACAGGACTTTTCGGTAATTATTTATTTGGAAATGAAGTTTTTGCTAATTAAATGTTATTCCTTTCTTAAATGATTCTTACTGAGTATGCCTCATATATCAACTAGGCCGAAGTCTTTAGAGCCAGAGCAAAAATCTTCAATGAATTATTAGCTGAATAAAATTCTGCAGATGTCTCTTCTACTATTGCAAGTTAAGTTACGTAATAAAACTAATTATATATATTTTTTATTTTATTTTTAAAAATAATAGTTATTTGAATCGAAGAATTCCTAGAAGTGAATTCGCTAGAAGAATTTCGAATTATGATTAAGGTTTATTAAATAGAGCTGCCACTAGATGGTTCTGGGATAAGGATATTGCAGTTGTTACTTGGGGACCTGTTCATCACCTTATGTCTGGATCTATGTACAATAGACCTATTAAAAGGTCTACTTTGGGATGGTATGGAAATACTTAATATATTAGCCATTGAACAAAAACAAAAAAACATATTTTTTATACATATTTGAAATAAATGCATAATATTTTATTAAAATAAAATTATTATTTTAAATCATTTTTTTTTAATAAAAAAGTATTTTAATTAAGATATAAATAATATTTTATTTTAATTAAAAATTTAATTCTTTTATATTATTATTTATAAATATTATAAAAATAATAATCATAAAAAAAATGTATTTTCAATATAAATATATAAAATGATATATATTAAAAAATAAAAAACCTTATTATAAATAAAATTATTAAATCTAAAAAGAAAAGAATAAATAGAAAATTGAAATAAATTTTAACTTATATTAACCAAATAAAAAAAAAATTGCACACAGTGAGATTTGAACTCACGCGGGTCGCCCCAACGCAACTTGAGTGCGCCGCCTTAGACCGCTCGGCCATATGTGCTTTTAATATAATATAGATATATTTTTATTTTTATAATATAATTTTTAATATAATTTTTTTTTTAAAACAAAAAAATTAAAAAAAAAAAATTGCACACAGTGAGATTTGAACTCACGCGGGTCGCCCCAACGCAACTTGAGTGCGCCGCCTTAGACCGCTCGGCCATATGTGCTTAATAATATATATTATAAAAATGAAATTATAAGTAATTTTAATATATTAGAATAAAATATAATAAAAGAATATTATTAATATGTTTATTTTTTTTATCTTTCTTTATATAATATTATATTGTTTATATTTTATTATTTAATTTTATCATATTTGTATACATGTTTATTTTAATATTAATTTATATATAGATAAATTAATATTTGAAAACAGATTTTTTATAAATGGGTAGAAGAAAATCAAATTATTACTCTTATATCGTTTTCTTTTTTTAGTTTTATAAAGTCCAATCTTTATTCTAAAAATAATTTAAATAATAAATAAAATATATATATATAAAGCAACAATACAATGCATATATAAAAATAAATAGTATATTTTTTTTATTTTTTTTCATATCGATACTTTATATAGTCTTCTTATATAATATCTAATTAAATTAAACCCATTTTCTGAAAAAAAAATTGTATCGTTTTTAATCAATTTTAAATCAAATGAAAGACTATTTAGTTTCTTCGAAAATAATTTTAGTTTCGTTATTTTAACCATATTAAATTTGCTTCTTTTTTATTTTTATTTTTTTTAAATTGTCCATTCTATTAATTTAATTTTTATAGATGTATTATTTCTATATGGCTTTTTTGCTTTTTTTTTATATTATTTATCATATTTCCTTATAAACTAAATATAAGTCCGTAATTAAAGTCAAACCTACATTGTTTTCAAATTTAATTCTTCGAAAAATTCCTAAAGTTAATTTTTGGTTAAATTAGACAACTTATATAGTAAAATCAGAAGGAATTAATTCTTATCTGTATTATTGAATGTCTTTTTCAATAAATAAAAATAAACATCATGATATGAATACACATAAAAATTCAACAAATAATTGTCTCTATGAATAATTTCTGATAAAATATTTTAATTTATATTTAATTAGAATTTTTTTTAAAATTAAATAAATAATATATATATATAATGAATCTAAGAGTAAAATAATAGATTTAAATAAAAGCAGTGTTTTTATAAGACTAAGGTATTATTTTTTATAATAAAAATAATCATTTAAATAAACACTATTTATTAATAATATTAATAAATATATTCATAAAAAAAAACAGGCGGTAGGAAAAACAAGTATTTTAAAAAATTTTGTTTATAATAAATTTAATTAATAAGAAGAAATAATAAGAGGAGTAACATTTGAAAAAACATAATATGATTATAATAATAACACATATAATTTTCAATTAAAAAAAAATAATTAATGGCATGTCAGGTAATGAATTTTGAACAATAAACAAAAAATACCTAAAAAACAAGATTTTGAATACAGCTGGATAAGAAAAATATAGAAGTTTAGGGTATTTATATTATAAAAATGCTAATAAAGTATTATTGGTGTATGGTATTTAGAAAATTATATAATTTTAGGTTTAAAAATAATAGTTTGACTAAATAATAAGGACTTTAAAATAAATTTAAAAAATAAACTATTTTTTTTACAATAAATAAATTTATTAATTAATTATTATTAAAAAAAAAAATTGAATATTCAAAAACATAATAAATTAAAATAGAAATGAAGAATTATTATATTAAAATACTAAAAAATAGGCAACTATTAATATATATATATTTGTTATATTATATCATTATCATTAATCTTATAATTCTATATATTTTTTTGATTGTTTTTATATATTCTCTTTTATTTTTATATTATCTTATAAATTTATTTAAATTTAATAGATTGAATATGTTTTTTAAAAATCCTAAAAATCCTCAATTATAAGAAATTCTTATTATTTTTTTTGCAATAAACATACTAATTTAAGTTTACCTTTTTTTAAAAGAATGGATTTTAATATTTATAAAATTAATTATAATATTTATTAATTTTAATTAAAAAGCATCCTTTAGCACCATGTATTTTATCAATTTCGACATCCAAAGCAATATTAATTTTTTTAATTATTTAAAATTATTCTATATTATAGAATAAAATATTATCAAAATTATGTATTAAAATTTATTGTTTATCTAATTAAATACATTTTACTTATTTTATTTAAGTTTTACAAATAAAAAGTTGTTCTAAATTTTTATTTTTAAAAACACAATTATTCTCTTCATATAAATTACTTTAATCTTAAAATGATTATTATCTTATTATATTTTAAATTTAAAAATGTCCTATTTATATATTAATATCTTTATTTTTTAGTATTAGTATGAATTTTTACTTTATTTTTGTAAATAATAATATTTCTTAAATTTCTAATTTAATAACTTTTTATTAATTTATTAAGTTAATAATTTTTATGGACTTTTTATTTTAACAAGCTATAAAAAGTGAAACTTAATTTGGAATTATTTTCTAGCATTGTTTGATATTAAATTCTTATATTTTTTTCAAGTCATTTGTATTTAAAAGCGTTATTTTTGTTTTTTATATATTATCTTATTCATATAAAAGTAGTATTTTTTATTTTTTGTAATAATTAAGTATTCTATAATTATTTTTTATTTATTTTTTAAATATTTATTGATTATTAACATTTTTTATGCAAAACTAATGCTTTGAAACCATTAACAAGTTTGGTTAATTATTTAAATTCTAAATAAATATGCAGTCTATAATTATATTTTTTTCATATTTCTAAGTAAGCTTTTTATAATTCCATTTTTCAATTTACAAAACTCTATAAAAAATACAAATCATCCTCAATAAAATATGAAAAAAAGTAAAGTAAATAATTCCTTTGAACTTCAAAAATAAAAAAACTAAAGCAAAAAACATGTATCTTCTCAAATGAGCAAATAACTATTTTTTTATACGAAAATCAATAATATTAAAAATTGACATGTATTAATGTATTATTAAATCGTAGGAAATAAGTGTAAAATAATAATTTAAATTATAACAAAATAATATAGGAATAAATATTTTTGATATTTCTTGAATAAATTCTTGCCTAAAACTATCATATTATGTATAATCATCTATTTATACTTGTAATTATCTAGTTATATAACGTTTTATTATGTAGGAAAATTTTGGATTATTTTATGTTGTTACCCTTTCCCATATAAATATATATATAATTTCTAAAATCATTTTTTTGTTAAGTATAATAAGAAGTTAAATTATAAAATAAAAAGGTTGTTTTTTTAATTAAGCATATAAATTTTATTAACTTAATCCAATATTTTATTAATTAATAATAAAAACTATTAAATTTATTTATAATTAATCTAATTATATACTTAATATATATTTTAATATTAAAAAATAAATAAAAATAAGTTTATGAAAATGTTTTTATTATATAATTTTAATATTTATTTTTATCAAGGTACAATTGCAATAAATTCGATTTCAATTTTTGCATTAAAGGGAAGTGTTTTTACAGCAATGCAAGTTCTTACAGGTAATTATTCAAAATTAAAAAACTTTAAATATATTTCATTCATTTTTTAAAAATTATCCATATTCTAGTAATTATTAAAAATGTAATTATAAAATTAATTTTAAGCATTTTGAAAATATAATATAATAAAAAATATAATAAGTAAAATATATAATATTTAATTTTTTTAATTATAATAATAATTACATCAAGATAAATAGTGCATTTAACAATATTTTTTAAATTAGTACCAGATTCATTTAATAAAATAGTAATATTATTTAAAATTTATTCAGTTTATTTTTAAATATCATCAAAATGTAAAAATTTTCCTGTCTTTATTTTATATAATATATGAGTTATTTAAAATTATGATAAATGCAATTTATAATTAAATACTTATGGATCAAAAGATAACTGACCAGAAGTAATTAATAATCTGCCTTAATTTTCAATTTATTTGGCTTAGGAATATAACTTAGATAATGGTAATTTTGTAGTATTAATAGTTTTTATTAATTAAGTATTTAAATTTTATAATCTTTCACACATTTTTTTTAATAAAAGATATAAATATTATATATATTTTAAATAAAATAAATGAAAACAATTTATAAATAAAAATAATAAATAAATTTAAATATATAAATATATGTATAAATATTTATAATAA